GTACTTACCATCAGGCAAATGATATGCTGCAAGCATGGAGAACTAGTGGCTCACGATAGACTTGGAGATGTATGTTTCCGCCTCATTGAAATGCAGAATGCAAAGAAATACTAGCAGAAAGCACTTGCCATCGCGATAGAAATTGGCGACAGAGAAGGAGAAGGAAGTGCATACGGGAACCTGGGATCCGTGTTTTCTTCTCTTAGCGAATATCCGAAAGCTAAAGAATATCACGAGAAAGCACTTGCCATCGCGATAGAAATTGGCAACAGACGACTAGAAGGAAGAAAATACAGGGACCTCGGGGTTCAGTTTTATTCCCTTTGCGAATATAAGACGGCTAAAGAACTTCAAGAGAAAGCACTTGCCATCGCGATAGAAATTGGGGACAGAGAAGGAGAAAAAAGTGCATACGGGGACCTCGGATCTGTGTTTTATTCCCGTGGCGAATATCAGAAGGCCAAAGAATACCTAGAGAAAGCACTTGCCATCGCGATAGAAACTGGTGACAGAAAAGGAGAAGGAAGTGCATACGGGAACCTGGGATCTGTGTTTTGTTCTCTTGGCGAATATCAGAAGGCTAAAGAATATCACGAGAAAGCACTTGCCATCGCGATAGAAATTGGCCACAGAGAAGACGAAGGTCGCGAATACTTTCGAATAGGGTCCTTTCGATATACTTGGACGCGGGCTCCTGAGAACTAGAAACGAGCATGTAATCGAGGCTTAGAGGACACTTAAGATGGCTGCCAGTTCTGGTGCGGGCATTTTTAGTACTAAATTGGTACCTTGGCTAAAAGGGTATGTATTTTCATTGACAACTTTTACTTCTGAAGTAAGATAACTGTAATTAGCCATAAGAAGTGCAATGAGCCAGAAGTTTGAAATACATACGAGCTACAAAGCTAAAGAAAGAGCTAAATGTTTGCAAGATGATAATAATGTTACGTTACAATCAGCTGATGAATTGTAGATGAAAAAATAACATCCAAGTCGATTAAATATCCATAATGTTGATATGAAACAACATAAATATGCTATGTATTAAATGCTTTAATTAAAAAAAAAGCACCTAGCTAAATGAAAAAATAGAAATTAGACTTGTGTGGTAATATACCACTACTAATTTTCAGAGAAAAACAATTAAAGCTATTGGCTTCATTTACAGTGCACCAAAAGCTTCACTCAGCTAAAGCATAAATATACAAAAGAAACAAGCAGAGGACTAAAAA